ATCAACTATTAATAAAAGAGATAGAGGATAGACCTCTCTTTAAAAAAAAAAAAAAAAAACAAATAACTTTAAAAATAAATATATAGAGTTAAAATCTTTATACATATAATATATATAAATAATTTAGTAATATACAATATATATGTATATATATTTTGCTTCTCTATTTATTTAATCTACCCTTACTAATTTTGTTTATTTTTAATTAAATTCTGCATTTCTTATCCTATATATTACTATTTGCAACAGTATTAATTTAATTTACTAATAAATTTTGCAATGCCACTAACAAATAATAGAGAAATTTGAGATATTTGTAGTAAAACTTTCTTGAAAAATCTGTTTGAAATAAATAGGTCTTTGATTATTGAATTTTACTAAAATATACTATAGTGTTTTACACCTATATATACATAATCTCAAAAACTAGCTAATTAATCGATATGAGGTATTCTAAGTAAAAATGTTCTATGCCCCTAAAAACCCTTTCCAAACTCTAATCCTAATCTTAATATTAACTTTAACATGAAAAAATTAGTATTAAAAATTTTATATACAAAATTTATAAAAACTTAGAAAATTTTAAAAAATATAATAAAAATATATGATAGGTGAAAACCACCATAGGTGCATTTTATAATTACTCTTGATTATTAACTTAATATTATAAATTATATTACAAAAAAAATATCAACTATAAGTATGAATCAAAACAGTTAGTTCAAGTACAATTTCTGGTAGTAAAGATGCTAAATTTTATAAATCTCATAATATAGTCTAAGTTTAGTTATAAAATTATTTTTTACATATCTATTAATCATATTATAATTAGTTTGTTTAATATAAATAAAAGTATTAAAAATTACTTTATATGTTTTACTATTAATGCAAGCCTTCTTTACTTCTATAACCTCAGTATCAGAATTGATGCTAGTATTTATACTCAATAAACTTTTAATATTAGATCTAGAAGTAGCACGAGTAGAAGTATCTTTAGCAATATTTAATATTTCTTGTAATAAAGCTATCAATCTTGAACTTGTCAATTCAAATATCAGAGATTCATTTTGAAAATTTGAAATAGATATTTTTAAGTGATTTAAAAATTATTTATATTGTTAACAAAATAAAAATACACTAAATAAAAATATTAATTTGAAATTATAAAAATTATAACATACTATATTTTTTTAATAATAGTATTTAGTGTTTCAAAAGTTTATTAAAAGTATATCTATGAATCCATATTAATACATGTTTTGAAATTTTATTATCTTCTGCACATATATTAATAATAAAAGTTAGTTTTCATATCAAATTTACTAGTATAATAATATATATAAAATATATGAATAGTTAGTATATATTATGAATAATAAAAAGATAATAACTTACTTTATATAAGGATTTAATATTTTTCTCATTTGGGGTGTAGCGACATAGAGTAGTGGTTAAGTTGTCACCCCAAGTGGCAGGTCTAGAGTTCAATTTCCACTAGAAACATTTTTTGAAAAATAGACCTGTGTTCTAGTAACATTTATTCTACGATTGGTTGGGTATATCACCTGTAACCTTGGTACTACTATCTCGAAATAAAAGCTTTAGAGCGATCTAAATTCAAGGAACCAAAATATTTGAAACCTGTTTGGCAAGACCTGAGCTAGAAGTAGTGAAGATCTTCAACAATACTACGGAAAATCAGAACCAAAGACCAAAAAACTAGACAAACAACTCTGGAGCAAAAAGGATCTACCAACTTGGCTACCAGAATTGTACCAGAGAAAAAGGTCTGATGCTACAAAATTTGAAACCAAGAGAAATAAAACCAGAAAGCATTTAGAGTCTAGGTACAACAACCCTTCCGAGCTAACTAGTTTGGTAGTTGAGGAGAAATCGGTATAAGGACCAGTTGAAAGTGGGTATCAGAATCAAAACGAATCTTGTAAGGGCAAGAAGTAGGTAATAGTAATGGTTACAAAAACTACAAATATCAGTTCTCAGATTGGGCATAAGTTACCGAAAAATCTAGGTGATATATGTGTAGAACATGGACCCTCTAGTAGGTTTACCATGAGGATAAAGTAGTTCTAAAAAGCTTTAGTGGCAGGAATTCTTCTGAGAAAAGTATCTGATAGTGCTAAATCGATCAAAGTGTTTAAATAGGAGATCCACAAGTGGATCCTAGGTATGGCAATTGGTGAGTAACTATAGATAGTATAGCAGAGCCCTTAATTAAACATATTTAATATTTAAGCAGAATATTTAAATGAGAAAAATATATATATTTTTTTAAATATTAAGGTGACCACTTGGGTCTGGCACGGTTTATTAACTTTTCAGTTTAATTATCAAAATACTCCTTGATTTTGTTATATCAACAAGAGT